TCTCCCCTTTAGGTTTTCCTTATTATAAAAAATTTTTTTTTACTAACTGGAGATTTTATCCAGGTTATAAAGAATAGTAAGTATCTGAGTATGGGGGGATGGGTTGACAGAAGAAATTATCAAGCGAGGTGCAGTGTGGGAAAAGCTGATGCTGCAGGTGGGAAAAATAATTTACCAACAATAGTCAAGGAATATGGAAGTTAAGAGTTTATCAATACACTGCAAGAGAGCAGCAGGGAAGTCCCAGAGAGGACCTTACCATCAGGGAGAAAGGCTGAAACTGCTATACTTGATTGGGGATGTTGAGAAGTCATCCTGTGGGTGATTTCCTTAGCTTATATGGTTCCACTGTCATCTGTGTTACTTTTCCCTCTTTGCTGAGACAAAATACCTGACACCCAAAGTCAGAAGGGAAAGGATTTATTTGGCTTACGGTTCATAGAGGTTTCAGTCCATAATCAGCTGGCTCTAAGGTGGGGTTGGCAAACAGGCATCACAGAGGAGAAATAGTTTATGGTGTCCACAAGGTAGCAAAAGCAACAAGAGACCTTAACAGTCCCTTTCTGACCCTTTTATTTTATTCAGACTACTTAGGTGGGCAGCATTTATGCCCTTAATCCTAGTGCCCTCAGGCCTAGCCCTGCCATGGATCAATCACACACTCTAGATTCAATCACCTCTGGAAAAGCATGAGACTTTGGGGGGACCTCTAAACACAAGCCACAACGTTGTCCATCTCAGTTCCGCCTCCTGCCTTGCAAACACAAGGACCTGAGTTCAATCCCCGGTATCACAAAGAAAAAAAAAAAAGAAATCTAAAATAAGACAAGTGGTTAGATTGTCTGGTGATGTATGTATGTGTGGCTTTTGGGCATAGCTTAGAAGAGGACAGCTAATGTTCTACTATGGACTCATCACTCAGGTGCTACACGGTCTTTAGAGAAATAATAATAAAATAGCTATGATTCCCCACAGAAGTGTCCTAAAGGAAGTGATATTAAGCATTAGGTAAGCGATGTGAGAATTAAGATTCATAACACTTGAAAATGGAGTGCAAAGCAAAACTCTAATTTTAGCTTTGTTATGGTTTAGATCCAAAACCACATGCACTTGGAAGGTGACTGGATCACCTGAATGTGATCAACTCAATGTGCTATTAGGAGGTGGGGTCTGGACAGGAGGGATGGGGCACTGGGAGCATGACCTAGAAGAATACATCTTCCTCTCCATCTCCTCCCCTTTTCTGCTTCTTGGTCACCAGGATGTGAGCAGCTTTTCACCCACCTTGCAGCTCTGCCATGCCATTGCTGCCGTGTGATATAGGAGAAACTAACTCCCAACCTACTAGATATCAGATGCACCAAGTTTGTGTCTCCTGAAATCAAAGAATGCATTCCAACGACACAGAGATTTTGAGTAGGATTTATTGAGAGATATAGCTCCTGAGAGACAGGAGGGTTCCCAAGGGTGGGCTGCCACTGAGGCCCTTTGTCAAGGATAGTTTATACAGCAAAGTCACAACATGGGTACGAGATGGGTCAAACTACAATCACCATATAGGATGAAAAGTATAGCTAATATTGATCCAATAGGAAAACAAGTCACACAGCAAGAGTACATGGAAAGAACAGGCACGGTCAGATTGGGTCTCGATGAATTGGTCACCCACCTGGGCAATGGATTCCTGTATAGACTTGCTGAACCAAGTTGTGCTAATTACAGTATGATCTCAAGTTACTGTTTGAGGCCTGGCCTTTGTATCTCTATTTTGAGTCCTGGCCTTCTTCAGATGTGCCTCCAGCCACGAATCTGATGTTTTTATTTTTCACCGACTTCCTTGAGAGTCTAGTCCCTCTCTGACTATATTAATTTCTATCTAACTTAGCTGCCTACAACACCCCCACATACCAAAGAGCTATCTCTATCTATGATTGGGGAGAATGGGTATAGTTTCAATCTAGCTGCTTCAAATTGAGAAGGATTGGTATAGAGACCACATTATTCAGGGGGCTTCTCCAAAGAGCAAATCAAAGTGGCCTTGGGTAGAAATCATGTAGGGGTTTAGCAGTTATGAACCTCCTTAACAACATTGAGCTAGTGGACCCTGGTAAAAGGAGTCTAGGATATTTGTCATCGGTTCCATCCACATGATCCTTTGTAATTTGGCAGCCTCTATGCAAGAATCAATCATTTTCCCCAAGAAATTAAAGGACATATTACTGAAGCATGAGTATTAGAATGGAAAGGAAGTTTGGGGAAGAGAGTTATATCCAGACACTGCTTTCTGGAATAGTGATTGTAACCAGCTGGTCCCCATATCTCTCTACAGATGGAAGCTTCTGTAAGTCTGATATTTCTTTGTTACAAGTCACTCCAGATGTAACCATAGAAGATGGAGTTTGGTGATTTTGAAGAACAATTTTGGCTAAGATTCTTGTTGAGCTTGTATATTTTCCACTGTAGCTTTCTAGCCTCACTGAACCACAACAGTGGTCAGCTATAAGTGTAGTTGGAGATTGCCAGCAAGGGTCAGGGATTGAAGCCCCCTTTCTATATCTGGCCCTAACTACCATGGTATTTTTATACCTCTTTTGATTATACTTTTCTGCTGGGCATTTTAGATCAAGTTAAAGTAAGACCTTCCTGTGTTAGTCAAAATTAATCTTTTGCTATCTATCAAGGTCAGTTAAGGCTTGTCGAGGGTTACTTTTGGAACCATGTACAGAGTTTCTGAGCTGCTCTGTCAGTGTCAGCAGCCCCAGTCCTGCTTGACCATGTGGCTTCCGGTGTAAGCATGCAGACTTTTCTCTCTCTGGCACCCCTCCTTTTTAGCACACCGTATATCATATTGACTTTTGTCCTTTAGGGTCCAACAATCTGCCTGCTCAGTAGCTTCAGTGACTCACAAAAGTTGTAGGATCCTCTAGAAAAGTTCCCACATATATCTGGGTCTTTGTTGAACCAGACCCAACATAATGTGTCCTCAGCCCAGTTGTCTTTATAGCTCTGGTCTCCAAAATTCAGTTGTTGAACACCCAAGAGAACAGTCCAAATATAAAATATGACAAGGGAGCTATCATTTCCACACTAATCATTGTTGTCTTAGAAGTTGAATCCCTATAGAAAGTTAATAGATAACAATTATAAAGTTTTTGGACAAAACTTGAGATCAAGGGTAATATAACATTTTAGCATAACAATCATGATGACATTATAATAGAGCTATTATGTTTTGTTATCTCTGAAACATATTTAAACATCCATTTTAGTATAAACATTTAGTCCATTTTTTATGATCTAAAGAACTTTTACCTAAATTCATCACCCTTTAATACAGTGCCATCTTAAGAAGAATGCACTTGTTCATAGATGCACCTTACAGTTTATCAATGTCCAACCTTCAATTCTTAGAGTGGCACTGCCAAGACTGCACAGCTTTTGAGCGTCTATAAGTGTAGTAACACATATATGACAAAAACATAATAATCATAAAGCACAAGCCTTGGAAAAGTATCCACATAATCTGTCTGACTGTCCTATGCTGGATTGGCATGTACATCCCATCACAAATAGCTGGGACACAGGTAAGGAAAAGTGAGCCTAAAATATTTATCGTCATAAACAACATTAGCTAGAAGTCACCAATGTGATGAAATGTTTTTTCAGCCCTTTATCTTTGAAGGCCTGTATACCTGGGAGACACAAAGATGCCACTTAATTTATCATGAGGTTGGCATATTGGTCATGTAGAAATCCTCACATGGATTTACTTTCCACTCTTAAGACAAATTTTAGATTCCTCAACAGGTTTTATAACATGTAACCATATTGAGAGAATTAAGGATATTTTAACAGCTCTGATATATTTAGGAAATAGTATTAAGGACCATAAACAGACCCACAGCCTAATACACAAGTGTATCTCATCTATACAATAACAAAAATACTTGCTCAATCTAAGCCAATAGATGCAGATCATGTTTAAATGTCAGGACTAAATTTAAAGAGATAGAGATGTCAAATCTTGATCATTTTATGTCTAAAGTCTAAAAGACATGTAAAAGAGAGCAGTTATTAGTTACTTTGCCTGTACTAAATGTATGTAGTCTTAACTCTACAACTTTAACTTCAGGCCAAGGATTTAGTTCAGTGGCACTGAGCCTGCCTCACAAGTGCAAGGTCATGAGTTTGATCCCAGGTACCAAAAAAAAAAAAACAAAAACAACTATAAATTTAAATTCAAAGCTTAGAATCACAACTTAGCTTGTTTTCAGATGTATACATACATATATGTCTAAATATACTGTATAAGTTATGTCACAAACTAAGGTCATAGTTGTTTAACCAATCACAAACTAATCACTGAAAATATTTCACAGGTTGTTATAGCGTGTGTCTAGATGTCTTCCCAAAGCCTCATGTGGTCACAGGTGGGGCTTTTCATAAGTGGTTGGATCTAGAGGCTCTAATGCTGGGATTGAGTGTGTGATGCGAGGATTAAGAATGTGTAGTCGCTAAATTAATCCACTAATTGGGGCCTGAGGGTGTAGCTCAGCAGCACTGCACCTGCCTAGCAAGCACAAGGTCCTGAGTTCAAAGACTGCTTTTAAGAAGGGACCTAAACAGGCTTCTCATCATTCTTTTGATAGTCAAAACTACTGTTTCGCTAGCTACATGCAACTGTTCCCTCTACCAAGACAGACTGTAGGGATCTTGTAAAGGGACTGCCTGGGCTCCAGTAGGAACTGGCTCTTCCCCTGGCTATCTATCTTGTGGTCTTTTAAAATTAACAATATGATATTCATCTCCCAATGTAACAGCAGCTTGTAATGCCGTCTGTTTCTCACTAGAAGTCAATGTTTGACCTAAGGGCAACAGCACCTCTTTCCAGTCCAGTTCATAGGTCTGAGTAAGTCCCCTAAAGACCTCAATGTACTTACCGTGATTGTTTGAAAACTTACCTAGATCTTGTTTGATCTGTATGAGGTCATTGAGAGCAAAGGACTTCAGGATTCAGGTAGGGTCGAATTCTCCACTCACCTCCTGTAAGGGATATTGCCCTGAAGGAGCTTTAACGAAATCAGATAGAGGTGGATATAGCCCGGTAGAGGCTTCAGTTGGGGTTGGCTAGGAAGTCTTGTCCTTAGGGTAAAGAGGAGAAGGGAGAGCAAGGGTAGATACATTAGATTGCAAATTGCACCTTAAAGACTAGAGGTGTCTGGTTTTCTGGTAGCTTAATTTACACTTTGAACACAAGTCAGAACTCTCTCTCTTAATGCAAAGAAAACCTGAACATAAGTTACCTTTGACCAATTTCCCTCTCTCTTGTGGTACAACTCCAGTTGTAAAATAGTATAATCAACACTTCCCTCTGTATCCCACTTTGCCTCCAGGCAGGTTATGACCAGATGAAGAAAAATATTAAACAGCTCCTCCTCAGAGTGTGAGGATCAAACAATTTCCAGTGCTCAAGTACACTCCAAAGGAGGAAGGGATTTCAACATGAATTTCCCATCTACAAACAAGGAGGAAAGAAAGTGTCCCTTTTAATCCCTCTTGGTTTTATATGCCCCCAGGTGATCCCCGGAGGTTTTCCTGTGCCAGAGCAGGTGGCTGCTGTCTAGAGGAACCAGAAGATGCATTGGTCCAGACTAGCTTACTGACAGGCACACCTACTTCCTTTGCAAACTCCCATTTCCAACTCCAGAGTGTATTTCAGAAAGCACAAGGTACCATTGATTTCCACTAAAATAGCTGTGTTTAAGAAGGGAAGCACTGCCAGCAAAAAAATTAAATCAATGATCAGGGGACTTGAGCAATTGTTTTCTAACTTTCTCAAAAAGGGTGAGAGAGAGAAAAACAAATCAAAGGGCAGACTGCAACTGCTCCAGCTATATTGTTTAGGGCTTGTGAGTATGCATGCTCTTTGAGGTGCCACCCCTGGTGTCACTCAGGGAGTTGGTTCTCTGTGTCTCAGGGTGGGTGCTTTTTCCTGCCAGCACCGCAACATAGTTCTTGATATAAGAAGGTGGGATCATAAACAAACTGGATGAAAACGATGGCCATAGATCTGACCAAAAACTGAACCTAAACTTTATCACACCTTCATAATAATTCACTTCCCTAAAGATCTCTACACTGAAAACTACAGCACTCTGAAAAAAGAAATCGAAGAGGATATAAAAAAATGGAAAGATATCCCCTGCTCCTGGGTAGGAAGAATCAACATAGTGAAAATGGCCATACTACCAAAACTGCTATATACATTCAATGCAATGCCAATTGAAATTCCAACACTATATTTCACAGAACTAGAAAAAAGAATCCAAAAATTCATTTGGAACCACAAGAGACCTAGAATAGCAAAAGCCATCACACTAAAATAGCTGTGTTTAAGAAGGGAAGCACTGCCAGCAAAAAAATTAAATCAATGATCAGGGGACTTGAGCAATTGTTTTCTAACTTTCTCAAAAAGGGTGAGAGAGAGAAAAACAAATCAAAGGGCAGACTGCAACTGCTCCAGCTATATTGTTTAGGGCTTGTGAGTATGCATGCTCTTTGAGGTGCCACCCCTGGTGTCACTCAGGGAGTTGGTTCTCTGTGTCTCAGGGTGGGTGCTTTTTCCTGCCAGCACCGCAACATAGTTCTTGATATAAGAAGGTGGGATCATAAACAAACTGGATGAAAACGATGGCCATAGATCTGACCAAAAACTGAACCTAAACTTTATCACACCTTCATAATAATTCACTTCCCTGATAAAATCTCCACCCAGAGAAGGGGCACAGCACATTTGTAAGCATACTTCAGGTTGTGTGCAAGCTCAGATCTGTATAGTAACAAAAATACAGCCCTATCTGGAAGACCCTACCCCACTTTGGAAAAAAACTATGAATAATAATTTTTTTTGAAACCCCATAGAAGTGAACCATATCACTTGTTGGGTCTCTGCCTGTGGAATGGCCAACTTCTGTCTTTCTAAGGATGCCAACAGGACATCCAACTGTGTTTCTTTTCTGTAATAAACTTTGATTTTACTCTAAAAGTAGTCCATGTTTGATCTTCATCTAATGTGACCATGGCCCACATCAGCAGCTCTCCTCAGGCTGAAGTCCCTACCCATTTTTTCCTTCCTTCTCAATCAAAGCTTTTGGGGCTGGGGATTTAGCTCAGTGGTTCTGGTGCCTGCTTTGCAAGTGCAGGGACCCAAGTTCGATCCCCGGTACCAGAAAAAAAATTTGGAATCAATTAAAGCTTTTGCCTATAAAGTTGGTTTGTTGCCTCCATTTTAATGTACATTAATCTCTGTAGCAAGAAGCCATGCTAAAACTCTTGATTTTTACTTCCATGTCCCCAAAATTTGACATTGTGGTTTATACTTCAACATCCCCCAAGAGCCTCGTGTACTCACTGGGTGGCTTTGGGAAGATGATTTGATTATGGGGGGAATAGCTAACTTGCTCTTAAGAGATAGAGTCTGGTTGAAGAGGCAGATTCTGGGGACATGGCCTGGAGAGTTTATCTCCTTCCTTGGCTCCTCCCTTTACCCTTTACTTACTGGGTACCATGAGGTGAGCAGTTTTCCCCCACCCAGACCCTCTGCCATGCCACTCTGCCTTGGAGCCAGCTGACTATGGGCTGAAACCTCCACAAACTGAGAGCCAAAGAAACATGCTACTCTCCCTTGCCCTACCCTGCTTCCATCTCAATACCAATCTCTTTTTTGTTGTTGTTGTTGCTCCAAGGCTTCGTCCCACCTCCTATTTCCAGCAGCACCTATGTGCAGGATCACTGTTCACACTGCCTGGACCATCCATCTTCCCATCTTCCTGTCTTCCCTCTCCTTCCTCTCCCACCCGTGTCCCGATCTCATACCACCTGTCAGTTGGGCCTGACCAAATTCTGTTCACTCTTCCGAGGCTGAATGTTACCCTCCTTTCAAATCCAATCCACTTAATAAATGCTCTAACCCTATATATTTTTTTCTTCAAAGCATTCCCAACAGATGCAATGAAATCTATGTTCTTCTCCAGTGGAAAATAAACTCCATAAGATCATGCATGGGACCTGTCTCACTAGTGCTAGATGGATACCACCTAGCACAATGCAGGTCTCCAAGTAGTCAAACACCAAATATTTGCTGAATGACTAAAACAGGAGCTTCTTTATGTGGTCAGTATCCACTGGACTAGCTTAACTCTGGGAGACTGATACACTTTCAGGATTTTCACCTTTGCTTCTCTCACAGCAAGGAGCCAAGGATGAGGAAGTCAATTTACATTGGATCCTAACTGGGAAGGTGCAGCACTGAAGTTTTCCTAATGTGCTATGCTCTTGCATCCAGGTTCTGTTTAATAGATTGTCTTTCTGAATGAACAAAGGTACTTACCTGGCCAAGGGGCACTGTATGCCGAGGAGATTCTAAAGCAGAGATCTGGCACGTGGTGGCGTGCTACAGAATACAGAGCCAGAGAAATGGGGAAGACGCCACAGCTGTGATAGTTAACTGATTGTGTCAACTGAGTAAGAAATGTCCAACTCAATTGGATCAGCATAGTCCTGGGTGTGGCTGAAGGGATTTACTGAAGGCAGAAGCCCCACCCTCAGTAGGTTTTTAGCCTGAATGGAATAAAAGGAGAACAAAGACAGAAAGTTTGCTTCTCTTTCTTCAGAGGAGCTCCAATCTTCATCTTGGACATCATCTTCTGGCTTCCAGTGCAGACCCTTCTGCCTCCTGATATGGACTCACATGGGGCATTACAGTGAGCTCGAGGACTTCAGCATTTTACTGGACCCTTCAGATCTCCAGCACACAGACAGCCCTTTTGCATTCTTCCATACTTGACTGCAGGCAGCCATTATAAGCCTACCTTGTTCCCTCCCCACAGGGCTTTCAGACCTCTGACACGCTTTGATTCCATCTTCAGTCCAGCGACATCCATATGTCACCCTTCTCTAGGAGCTGTACAATCTCAAATCCCATGGACACTTCTAGAGTTCCTATAGTCTTGTGCTTAAAGTTTTTATTTACTTTGGTAGTTGAGTCATTTACATTACAGAGGCTACCAAGGAATTTATAATGCTTCTGCTAGTTTTCTTTTGGCCCAAATATACGGACCAAGTATTAAAACCATCTGTAGTACTCACTGGGACACAAAATCCAGCACTTACAACTTAAAAGAGAAAGCTTTAATTTGGCTCACAGTTTCAGGGGATTCAGTCCATGGTTAGGTAGCTACAAGGCAAGAACATGGCAGAAGTACATGGTGGGGCAAAGCGGCTTAGTTCATGGCATCCAGGAAGTAGAGCGGAGGAACACTGCCAGGGGTTGGGGCAGGGACTAGATAGATACCACAAGGTCATACATTCACGACCTACCCAAACAAACCAACCTTTCCACACACATCCTTGGAAGTCAGTCAGGTTGACATTTCACCCAGATCATGACAACATCAAACAGCAACTTACTCTTTATTATTGCTTTGGGTTTTTTTGTTGTTTTTGAGACAAGGTCTCTCTATGCAGTTCAGGCTAGGATTGAACTCACCATGTCGCTCATGCTGGCCTCAAATTCATGGCAATTCTCCTGCCTCAATCTCCCAAATGCTGGGATTACAGGCATATGCCACCAGGACTGGCATATTGTAGTCTTAAAAAAAAAATCTAATCACCAAATAAAAATGAAAACAGTCAATGAAAGCCAGGTGTGGTGGCACATGCCTGTAATCCCAGAACTCAGGAGGCTGAGGTAGGAGGATCACTGTGAGTTCAAGATCAGCCTGGGCTACATAGTGAGTCCCAGGTCAGCCTCAACTACATAGTGAGACCCTGTCTCAAAAAGCTGTGAGTTCAAGATCAGCCATAGTGAGTCCCAGGTCAGCCTCAACTACATAGTGAGATCCTGTCTCAAAAACCCAAACCAAAACAAAGACAAAAAACAGTCAATGGGCTTAGCATGTAGCTGAGTGGTAGAGAGTTTAAATACCATATTCCAGGTCCTGGCTTTAATCATAAGCACCACAAAAATAACAAAAATATCTACAAGTAATTTTAAAAATAAAAATTGGTTTAAAAAATAGAGGGGTTAGTATTAGAGGGAGATGGGTGGAGAGGTAGAGAATAAAAGAGAATTGAGATGTGTTATGTACATTTAGCTATTCCCTAAGATCAATGTAAGCTATGTATTGCAAATATGTACTAATAAAAAATAGATCATGATATGTGGAAATACGAAAGATGATAACAGAGGCATATTCTCCTACATCCCTTGCTTCAGTCTTTTAACACTGACAGTTCACTAGGCTCTAGAATCAAGGACATTTTTTAGGAATCTTGAAAACAATCATTCAGCACAATTTCTCATCACCCTCATCCTTCCAGGAACTTGATACATCATGAGCTCAATCATCATCAGAGAAGCTCATTTTGATTCAGCTTGCATCTCTAGTTGGCAACTGCATAGGAAGCAATCTCAGGGCAGTCAAGCAGCATGGTCATCCAGTCCGGAGACCGACTTTCTGATCCTGGTGGAGCCCTGGAGAGTGGGGCTCAGGGACCGTAGTTTCCAAATCCAACAATAATGCCGACACCACTGTTTTCCCCATGATGTCCGAGCAATCTGGGTCTCCTAGCCTAACTCTCTAAGGCATCCCTAAAAGCAGAGAGGTGAAAGTGTACAGGTGCACAAAAGAAATTTACAGTAAAAAACCTTACTGAGCATAAACGATTACTCCAGCCTCTCCCCCTTTTCTTTTTTGCATGTTACTGGGGACTGGATCCAGGGGCAACTCTACCACTGAGCTACATACCCAGCCCCGCTCCCTTTGAGACAGAGTCTTGCTAAATTGCTAAGTTGTCCAGGTTGGGCTCAAATTTATGATCTTCCTCCTCCACTGCTGGGAAAACAGGTATGTGTCACCATGTAACTACATGGGGGATGTGATGGATAGATTTCAAGCTCTTGGGTATGACAAAGAATCCCAAAGCATGCACCTGATGGGGAAAGACAAGCAGCTACATTTATTGAAATTCACAGAGACAAGAGACAGAGAGATACACAGAAACTCTCATTACTATTAATATGTAGCATGTGCTTATTAGGTGCCCGATAATGTGCCAAGCATATTTAACTGTTAGTTCATTTAATTGTGACTATAATTTTCTGAAAGGCTAAGTAACTTGTATATAAGATAATTTGCATAATGAAATAGCTTTAGTGATCTCATTCAATTGTGACAGCAACCTTAAAAAATATTCTTTAACTTTTAAATAAAGACTTTACATTAGTAAAAGGTGCTTTCTACCTATAATCCCAGCTACTCAGGAGGTGAGGCCAGATTACAAGTTTGCGGCCAGCCTGGCCAACTTGGTGAGACCCTGTCTCAAAATAAAAAATAATAAAAATGTAGAGATATCTGTCAGTGCAAGGCCCTAGGTTTAATCTCTAGTACTATGAAAATAAAATAACTAAATGACAAGAAATAAAATTTCACCAATGATGAGTTTAAGATTTTTTTCTTTAATTCGCTACTTAAAAAAACTCACAGAGCAAATACATTTAAATATATTTTAGTATCAGATACATCAGTCAGCTTATTGTTTAGAGATGGTGAGTCCAAGGATAATTTTAATTTTTAACTTTTCTTATAGACTCACAAAGCAAACTCAGAATTTGTATTTGAAAGCTGTGCCCTTTCTTTCCTGTAGTAAAGTACCTGTGTCTGGAAGGCTGTCTCCCGTGACTTGTTATCTGTAGATGTGAGTAATTCAGCTTTGCTAAGCTCCTTTGGTAGCTGTAAGGTCAGATCAATAGTGGTTCTATTCTACAGGGCTGTTTTTTAAGATAAAAAGAACTTTGATTTTTCTGCCATAAAGATAATTACTGAAATGACAGTTACAAAAGCCTTGTCACATTAACAGAGGCCTATTTAATTACTATTATTTAATTTGGCATATGTATAAATGACATGCGAGTGGCAAGTGTCCCAATACCAAAGCATTCTTGAAGATAGTATTACACTGCATTTATTTATAATTCTAAACCTGGAACTAAGTCAAAAGATTGTTATACTACAGCATGACCACTATTTATAAAAAAGAAAACCGATCATTATTACCCATCATGGATACTACTGATAATTATAAACCTAGAACTAAGAAAAATGATTATTTTTAATAGTATTTGTTATATTCATTCTCTAAAAGCAATTTGTGATCAGTTGCAGGATGCTCGCACATTTATCTTATCATAACTATCTCGGATACTTCAAAATAAATTTGCATGTCAACTTGTTTTCAGCAACCAGCAGAGCTTTACACCCATTATTCAACTTTGCGCTCCACAGAGGGTATCTGGTTGCTTAATTGCTGTCTTCACGAGCTCAGGCTACTGTAACAAAACACCGTAGACTGAGAAGCTTAAACAGCAGGTCCTTGTGTCTCAGTGTGGAGCAGGGAAAGAGGAGATGGAGTCAGCAGGGGTGGTTCCTGCTGAGGGCCATAGGTGACCCAGTCCATTCCCTGCCACTCTCCCTACCGGTGCTGGTCTGCTAGCAACCTGCCTTCTCCAACATCACTCCAATCTCCTCTCTCAAATCACCTGTTATTCTCTGTGTGTGTCTGTGTCCAGATTGTGCCTTTCTCTCAGAACACCAGGAGAAATGGTTATGTAAATTTGACTTCAGACTACTCTCCTCATCACAGCCTCATCTTAAACTGATTACATTTATGACTCCATCCCTAAATAAATCCACATTCTAAAATTTGGAGGTTAAGGCACCAACATACGAACTTGTAGAAGACAAAAGTCAATCTATAATACCTACTTACCTTTACTATCAATAAAAGATAAGATCTATAAAAAGAATAAAAGCATTTATCTCCCAATTTATTTTTTATATTACCATGAAAAAAATTTTTTGACATAGTGTATGGTCTAAGTTTTCTCATGTGCTTTCTTCAGTGAGAAGTACTGATAGTGACACAAAATTCTGAACTTTGTGTAAGAAACATTCATTTAAAAAAAAAAACTAAGTTCTATGTACCACATGAGGTTATTGCCAAATAAAACTAGCAGTTTGCTCAGTTTCCTGTTATGGTCCTTTCAGGTTCAAAAACATTTAATTTTGCATAAAGAAGCTTTCACTACAGAGCTTTGACTAAAAGTCACTACTTAATTATTTATGTACCACTGAGGGTATTCAAATGATTTAGCAAGAACTACCAAGTGACCTTTCATCAACTTGGGCCCAGGGGTGCATACAAAACAGTATTCTGATCTGGCTTGAGTTGTGTTAATTATCCTTTAGAAAAAGTTGCCCGCCAATGCAGTTTCCGATGAGCTCAAAAGTCAGAGAGCTTGGAAATTTTGTTGTTGTTGTTGTTGTTTTCTCCAACTGGGGATCAATCCCAGGGCCTTACTCATCCTAGGCAAGAATTCTACCACTTAGCCCAATCCTCAGGTCTTTGAATTTAATACAAGATCTCACTACATTGCGCAGGCTGACCTTAAATTTGCAACCTTCCTGCCTCAGCCTCCCAACGAGCTGTGATTACAGGCATGCGCTGCCAAACTCAGGTGCTAGAATTTTTGAACACTCATTAAAAACACCAGCCCCAGCCCCAGCCCCCAGGTAGGGACCTGTGGAAGGAAACCTATGAAAATAAAGCAGCACCACTGCTGTGGAAAACAGTCCTCCAAAATAGCACAGAAGTAGCTTGTTCTTCACACAATCTAGCAACTCCGCCTCTAGGTCTATTCTCCAAGAATTGAGAGCAAGATTCCACACGTGCATTTGTGCACACACGTGCACAGCAGCATAATCCACCACGGCTCAGCGACCGACAGAGGACTGGAGGAAAAGTGTGGCACGTACGTACATACAGCAGGGTACTGGGCCTCAAAAGGGAAGAAACAGCCGACATATAAGCAACAGCATGGATGAGCCCAAGTGCAATGAACAAGCCAGTCACAGAGAAGGGAAACACCGGTCCCCTTTTCGTTGCAGGAGTCAAATTCGCAGCAACCGGAAGTGGTGGCTGCCACTCAGGTGACCCAAAGCAATGGCAGGGCTGGAGGCTGTGCTGCTGGCCCCGCCGTCACGGAAGTGCCCCACCCTCCGGGCACTGCTGCGGGACGACTTGGGAATAGGAGGACTTGAGTTCTGAACGCTGACCCCCGCGTACAGACTTCTGGCTTCCAGAACTGTACACTAACATTGTGGTGATCTGCCTCAGCGTCACTGGGGACCAGAGACGGCAGGGGACGGCGCTGGGCCGGGCTCCTCAGTCCAAGCCTAACCCTAAACTTGTTAAGGTGACAGGTGGGCGGGCACCCCGGCGTGTGACAGCCTAGGGAGTAGGTCGCAGGGCTTATTCAGTCCAACGAAGACACCCACAAAAGGCGCATTCGCAGAACCGCCAATACCCATACCCAATTAGTGACTCTAATCGGTAAGTTCTGTGTTCTTCATTACAGCGGGTCCGACTTAAGGCTCCTGGGACTTCGAATAGAATTCGCTCACCTTGTCGCTTTTTGTCTGAGACCGGTCCAGCACCATCACACCAAATTGACATAAAACTTTTTTCCAACCGCAAGTCTAGTCTGTAATTAAATATCGATCTGTGATGTTTTCTCCGATTTCACAGTCCAGATCTAAGCGGTTTGCTTTGCTATCTCCACCTGGGCTCTTGTGCTCTGCGGGCTTCATTCACCCTCGCCCTCCCTTCTCTTCGGAGCTCAGGATGAGAGGGCTGAGGGGACCGCGCGCACGCGTGCGTCTGTGTGCGCCTTCGGGCCCCTCAGTATTTTCTGCAGATCCTGTTGAAAGATGAGAACAGAAGATTTTTTTTTTCTTTTTTGTGGCGCTGGGGATTGAACGCAGGGCTTTCTCCCCGAGCTGCATTCTCAGTCCTTTTTCAAATTTTTATTTTGAGGTAAAGTCTTGCTAAGTCACTAAGTTGCTTTGAAGGAGCACCTCATTTCATCACTGTACTGTTCTTCACTCACCCCCCAAAAATCCACCAACCACTTGTTTTTGGGGAATCGCATCTAGGTGGCATTGGAGCTATGAAAATCCTTCAAGTTTCTCATTTTGTCCACTAATGCCAACATCGTTCTCCTTATAATAACTACTGAAAGGTAGCAAAAGAGGTTTATTTCCTGCCCTTCAATCCCCAAACACTAAGGGAGAGTGATATGAATTTATAAAACAGTACGATCAAGTACCAGGAAGTAAAAGGAAAGACACACTTTGTCTTAGGCCATTCACTAACCAGATAATCAGCTTCCAAATAAAAAAGCTGGAGCTGGGCCTATAATCCCAGCATTTGGGAGGCTGAGGCAGGAGGACTGCTGTGAGTTCAAAGCCAGCCTGAACTATGTAGTGAGACTCTCATAAATAGTGGGGCATTGTCTCAGACTTCTGGCTTCCAGAATTATAAACAGGTCCAAGGAGTGAGCGGGTAAGCAAGTCCAAGACGACACAGGGAAGGTGGCAACATCAATTTTTTTCTTGTGTTGGGGATCAAGTCAATTTTTTTGCACTGAGCTAATCTCTAAGCCAGTGATGGGGAACCTTTCAGAGACCAAGTGTGCAAACTACAACCCAAGAACCCACTTCTTTATCACAAAGTGCCAACACTACAATTAAGCCTGAATACTGAGGTTTTAGTTTTTGAAAAAGCCACAAAACACTCTACGTTCATATCTTTATGAGAAAAGAAGAAAAAAATGGAAACAAAATTTTTTGCAAATAAGGAGGAGTGGAAGGGTGGGAGGGCAGGGGACTGGGAAAAAAGAACCACGATGTACCGTGCACAGGCACAAACCCCCAGTGGTGAATGTGATCATAGTGTATACCTAAAACGTACCAATAAAAAAAGAAAACAGCCACACATGCCATAGGTTAGTGACCACTTCATTAAGCTATTCTTCATTCTGAGACAGGGTCCTGCTAAGTTGCTCAGACTGGGCTCAAACCTGAAACGACCCACCCACTGTCCCCAGCTGGGTTCTGGGGTTTTATGTAGTCCAGGCCAACTGAACTCATTATATAGCCCAGGCTGGCCTCACATCTATGGCGATCCTCCCGCTTCTGCCTCCTGAGTGCTTGGGATTACAGGTATGTGCCACCACGCCTGGCTTAGCTTCTGTTTTATAAACAAGTATTTATTTAGCTCAAATTACATTTCCCTTATGTTTGCAAATCAATTTGAAGTTTAGTTCATGTAAGAAGCTTAATTGGAGCCACCTGAGTTGATGCATGGTATCATCCTAGTACTCCGGGAGGCTGAGGCAGGAGGATTACAGGATCAACTCCAGCTTGGGCAGTTTAACAATTTAGCAAGACCTTGTCTCCTAAATACATACATTAAAAGGCCCTGATTTCAATCTCCAATACTGAAAAAAAAAAAAAAAGGAGGAAGGGGCTTAAATTGGTTTATTCTACTCAGAAAATCTGCAGGCTCTCTCCTTTTGTTGTTTTGTTTCATTTTGTTTTTGTTTTTTTCACCCCAGGGCACTGTGCCCACTGGATAAACACCCTATTGAACTACACTCCCAGGCCACAGGTCTCTTTTTTATTTTCACAAGCGTTTATAAAGGGAAGGAAAAAAAAAAAAGACTGTACCCAAAACAGACTGGAATAGGCTAGGCTCCCTTCCTTAGTAGGCTATTGTGTTGGACGACTCAAATTAATTACCCGCGTTCCTGTTTTGTCTGAGACGGGGTCTGGATAAACAATCCACGCTGCCCTTGAACTCACTGTGAGCCCGGGCTGCCCTGGCATTCACAGTGATCCTCCAGCGGCAGCCTCCCAGGTGCTGGGGTCACAGGCGAGAGCCCGCCACACCTGGCCACCTGAGTTTTTAAAAACAGAATTACCTGTACATGTATCAACTCCACACAAGGAATGTAAACGTTATGTTCTGCCAACGTGTACCACTAAATATTTTTTAAAAAACAAATACACAGCGAGTGACCTAAATGACTCCACCTTTCTTTGCAAAAGCGCCATTGGGGTCTTGGAGAAGCGAGAGCTAGAGGTCCCTGCAGGAACCACACGCTGAGCTCAAACCCAAGCAAGGGGTGACCGAGACGAAAAATAGAGACACTGAGACAAGTTAAAATCTGTCCGGGACTCAGGTCTCCGACACAGAGCCCAACTGCCTGGCGCACCTTGGCTTTACCGACTCAGACATGGGCACGAGCAGTTAGAGTTGCACAGGGTTCATCTGTCTCCCTCCCTCCACGGTACTTCCCCGGGTAAACAACTTCACCTCGGGTGATTTTCCTTCTCCCTGCAGCGTATCAGCTCGCTTGCACGCCCCCTTTCTCCTCCGTGCTCACCGAGGCGGCCAATTAGGCCTCATTGGTCCCGTCTGATCTGGATCCACAGGCCCCTGGAACAGGCTCGCCATTATGCATCGCGTCCCTCCTCTGTGTGTCCCTTCAGCTGCCCGTCCTCCCCGGAGACCAAGTTGGGAGGAAGCGGCCCCCAGGGCAACAGTGAAATGCCAGCTGGGGTCTCCAAGCGCTGCCACGGCACGCTGTTCCCGCTGGAGGCTGCGACCCTCACTCCTCAGTGACTTGGCATCGACGCCTGACAAGCCCTCCCCAGCTGGAGGCTGCTGGTTGTTCTTAGAAGTAGCAGGTTTTTTTTTTTTTTTCTTTTTCTTTTTCATGAGTTCTCTGTCATTTTTCTGAATGCACAAATTTTTAACATATTTTGCAGTTCACTCTTCAAAGACGTCTACAGTATTCCTCCCATTACTCACAAATCTTTTACTGTTAGAATCATTTGTTATTTTCAGCATGATTTCACGAACTTGAGATATTTTCCTGACATCTAAAATAATGAAATAATGCACAAATCATGGGAGCTTTTGGAGAGTTCCCTTATTCCAATTTATTTATTTATTTATTTTTGTACCAGGGATCAAACTCAGGACCTTGTGCTTAGAAGGCAGGTGGAGGCACCACTCAGCTAAATCCAAGCCCTCCAAACTATTATTATTATTATTATTTTAAAATTTGGTAGTAGGGATTGAACTCGGGACCTTATGCTTCCAAGGTAGGTGGTGGAACCACTGAGCTAAATCCCCAGCCCCAAACTATGTTTTATTGTGTGCAGAAAATAACTTTTTTAACACAAGAGAGGAAGTTGAACAAATTTGGATTCCAACTGCAACAACTTTAAGAATAAAGGTTGAGCTTAGTGATTACTTTCAATCACGTAGTGGGGGAGGAATGTAACAGGTCTTTGTGTGAAAGTTATTGAGCATTACAAATTTGTGATCTGTGGAACTGGCAGAACCTTAAGTTGTTCTAGTATAACCTTTCTTGAGATCACCCTGAAAATGTACCAGTGGGGTTCAAAGAAGCCAGGAGGGACTCCCAGAGCTCCTCAAAGTTTGCAGTCTTATTCATGGAAGTATGGACTCACAGCCCACAAGGTCGTCATGTCTAATGCTCTGATTTTTCAAGCAAAGGCGCCCTGGCAAAGTTCAGACAAGATGGAGAGGGGCCAGGGATTTAGCTCAGTGGAACTGTACCTGCCTTGCAAACACAAGGTCCTGAGTTCGATCCCTGGTATCAAAAACAAAACAGAATGGTGAAAATCAGCCCAAGGGCTGTGCTCACAGAAGTGTGGCAATCACCTCACATACTCGACACTGGTTTTGAGCCTCACCGCTGAAAACTAAACTCACCACTGAAACTAAAAATTTGTGGGTTTATATAAAGTCTTAGAAATTCCAAAGTACAGTTTTGTTTTAGAATTCAAAGAAATTATAGCAGATGGGAACTCAGCTGCTTATGAAGTACAGCACCAGAAATGGTAAGCTAATGGATAGTTACAAAGCACATTGTCTTTGTCCACTCTCCGTTGCTATAACTGAATACCTGAGACTGGGTAATTTATGAAGAACACAGTTCTAGAGGCAGGAAAGTCCCAGAGCATGGCGCTGGCATCCACTCAGCATCTGGCAAAGGCCTTTCCTGCTCCTCAGAATGTGGCAAAAAGCCACATATGGCAAAGCCCAGCACGTGTCTCAGTGCAGTTCTGTTCCTCTTCTTATAAAGCCTTTATGTAGCCAGGGGTGGTGGTACACACTTGCAACCTCAGCACTGAGGGGCATGAGTTTTTGTGTTTGTTTTCTCATGATGCTAGGGTTCAAACCCAGGCCCTCACACATGTTCAGCAAGCAACGAGCTACACCTCTAACCCTAAGGGTTGTGAGTTTAAGGGCCAGCCTGGACTTAGTGAGATCCTGGGGCTGGGGAAAGGGAAGGAAAGGAGGGAGGAAGGGAGACGGAAGACAAAGAAAGCAAACCACTAGGCCGGGGATTTAGCTCAGTGGTTCCACTGCCTGCCTCACAAGTGCAAGGTCCTGAGTTTGATCCCCAGTACCAAAAAAAAAAAAAAAAAAAAAAAAAAAAAAAAAAAAAGAACTCCCCCAACACTACTTAGTGGAGAGCCTACTATGTATTATGGCTCAGCATCACTCCATGAATGGATCTCAGGCTTGATTTTAAGGATCCAGGAGATTTCATTTAAGGGCCGGGGATTTAGCTCAGTGGTTCAGTGGCCTGCCTTGCAAGGACAAGGACCCGAGTTCAATCCTGGGTACCAAAAAACAAGCAAACTACTAATGCCACCTGAGGGCCTTCCCTGTATGACTTTATCTAACCCTAAATATAGCTCCTAAAGGACCCATTTCCAAATATTTGCTAGTAACACATGAATTTGGAGATAAAGCCTCCAACACAGGAGATTTTGCAGGGTACATTTAAACCATAGCGCAGATTTTTCATAATTAAAAAGAAACACACAGAATTGGGGCTAGAGGAAGTAGCTCAGTAGTAGCATGTGATGTTAGAATTCATAAAGCCCTGGGTTCAATCCCTTGCAATATCAAATTTTAAAAAATGTAGGATTGTTTAAATCAAAAATCAATAACATTGTATTCTGGACTCTCTAGATGTGATACATACTATGTCAGACACAGAAAGGATTGGGGAGGGGATAAAAAGACCTATCCAAGCACAGAGTATTTATATCTTATGCAAGGCATCACAAAAGTAACTCCATCTAGAATGAAAATTTAAGATTTTAAATGGCAAATCACTAGAACATTCACTACAAAGATGACATAAAGCACAGCTAAAAGTCAGTAGATAAATTAAAATGCAGTTCTAAAAGTCATTTATTCAAAAAAAAGGCAAGAAAGGGGTTGAGGAATAAAAACAGAAGGGTCAGCAGGGACAGCACTGTAGAAATGTAGACTTTAATCCAACCATATCAATAATGGACTAAGGGCTGGGGATTTAGCTCAAAGATAAGCTCATTTAGCAAGTGCAAAGTCCTGAGTTCGATCCCCAGTACAAAAAAAAAAAAAAAAAAGGACCAAAACTTACCACTTAAAGGGCAGAGATTATCAGAAGACACAGAGAAGTTGAAAGCAAATGAATAAAAAAGCCATGTCCTGCAAGCTGTGTGCCAGACAGGGAGGAGTGCCTGTTCTAATCCATAAAGTAGATTTCAGGATCAAGAGTATTATCAGAGGAAATAAGACTATCACAGAATGAAAAGCTAGCCAATCATGACAAAGAGGAATAACAAAAACTCATATGTGTACTAAAGCTTTTAGATATGTGAAGCAAAATTGGCTAAGTTGAATAGAGAATTGGGCAATTGACAATCATGGAGATTTTAATAGCTCTTTCTCAGCCATTGATATAATGAGGCAAATAAAACTAAAAAAAAAAAAAATACTGAGGGTGCAGAATCTCTGAACACTATCAGCCACCAAGACCTTACTGAAATTTGTGGAGCACTCGACCCAACAAATGCAGAGTTATGCACCATTTTCCAGTGCACATGGGACACTCACCAAGACAGACCATATGCTCGACTATAAAACAAGTCTCCATAAATTTAAAGGCACTGAGATCTTATCTACATTCTTTGACTACAGTGGAATTAAACTAGGAAGCAATAACAATGATATATTAGAATATCCTAAGTGTCTGGAAATTAAACGGTGCACTTGTAAATGATCCATGTGCCATTGGCTTTCGCTCTTAACACTTAGAAGTCATGTGGCCCATTCACGCTCTGAAGTGGAACACGTTTTGGTTTGAATAAAAGGGTAGAGGCCATCTGGGCAAAGTGAATAGCTTTTCTAATTTCCATGGGAAAGCTTTAAAGTTGTGCCAAGGAAAGAGAAATGGTCAAATACTTCATCTGTTATTTTTGCCCAGTTTTTAGTGCTACATCAGAAATGCTTGGTCTTTTGTTGCAAGCTAGTTAGCCTGGCGCCCTGCTATCGAGACCCTCTGTGCACCCGGTCTTTCACCCCACTGTTGTTGGCCCTGTGGTTCTGTAACCCCGAGGTTTGTTCTGCGCTGTGTTGTCAGTGCTCATCAGCTCCCTTCTCTTGTCTTTAGAAGAGCTGTTGTTTGACACTGAGAAGGGTGCTGTCGTGATTATTGATGAGCCTGCTACAAAGAAGCAAGGCACGGAATATAATTTTGTCTCATTGTTCAATAAGAAAAAAGTGGAGAAAAGACAGTTTTTACACAATGTTCCCACATGATTGGGAATGAAATCTGTCTATGTTGCCTACCAGCCATCTCCACAGCTCTGTCTGAGTCATCTGACCATGGGCAATGAACAACATGTGTCGTCTTATATCAGGTGAAAGCTACTGAAAGATGCTCATTTGAATTTTCCCAAGAGATATTTCCCAGTTTTTCTTTTTGAACTTTGAAATGTCTAAACAGTTGTCAAGAAAAGGAAATCTACCACCTCAGTAATCCCTTATCTTGTACCAATCCCTTGAGCCAATTGTCCGTTACCTTTATATCCTTTTTAGGATGTTTTCCAGGATGGGTTGATTCTGCCAGATTAAGTTAGGCTTCTTCCAGCCCAAGCATGCATCAGAATCAGCAGGACTTGTGTAAAGATGGTTGGGTCCACTCATTTCTGATTAGCAGGTTCAGGGTGGAGCCTGACAATAGCATTTCTAGCTGCCTGCTGACAAAGGCTGCTTGTCTGGAAACACATGTGTAAAACCAGTGAGTTTTCTTGCTAATGGTAAAAGATACAACTGAGAAAGGGCCCTGGATTTACTCAAGATTTAGTCTGTTGTAAAAGTTAAGGTTGTTTGAGTTATTTCCAATCCTCCCATGTCTCTTAAGGGTATTTCAGAGAAGACAAGAGTTTGGGAGAAAATAAACTATGCAGATTTAACAGCTTTTAGATTGGTCTAAAACAAGGTCTCATGCTTTAAAGCTGGGCTGCTTCAATTGGTGCTTTCGCTTAAGGATTGGAAACCACCTAACCCAATAGGTCTGTGCGTGCTCACGGGCCTGGAGGGGCTTGGAAACTTGTGAGAAAGGCCCATCTGCAAGACCACCCCAGGGGGCTGAGTTAGAAACCTTAGGCGTGTGGCCAGCAATCTCTAATTCACAAGCCTTCCAGGTGACACGATACACACTGATGTTTGAGAACTAGTGACCTAGCCCAGAGATGATTCACCTTTCTCAGACCTGCTTCAGGGTGCAAACTGGATGGCCAATGTCACAGGCTCAGCACCTGAGAAATGCGTTGCT